GGCAGGCGGCGCGAGGGGCGGGGTCAGGGCCGGGGGTGGAGCGAGCGGCGCGGGACCGGCCGTGACCCCGAGGTGGCGGGGATGGGGGCCGAGGCCCCAGGGCGCGGAAGGGTCCGGTGTGACCCTGAAACGGCTGTGGGCGGTGCGGCCGAGTGTCCCGGCGGGGGAGATGGGGCGGGCCCGGACTGTCTCCTGCAAAGGAGTCGTGGGCGGCGACCAGAAGGCCGCCCGCGTAAGCCCGGGAGCAAAGGATCCGAACAGAAGTTTCCCCAGGAAAGGTATGCAAATGGCCAGTAAGCTCCTGGAAAGATGCTCAGCATCCTTGGTCATCAGAGAGATTCACATCAACACCTGTGAAATACCACTCCGCCTCTGCTAGACAGTGACATGTGTTGACAAGGGTGCAGAGGAATCAGAACCGTCCCGCCCCACTGGTGGGAACGTAAACTGGGGCAACCACTTCGGAAAGCAGTTTGGTAGCTCCCTCACACGTTAAACATAAGAGTTACCATTTGACCAACAATCTTGCTACTGGGTGTACACCCAGGAGACTAAGAAACAGACACACAGAAAATTGCACGTGAAGGTTCACAGTGGCATTATTTATAATAACCAAAGCGTGGAAACAACCCACATTTCCATAAACTAATGAATAGATAAAATTTGGTATAGCCACACAATGACTGTTACTAGGTCATAAAAAGGAATAAAGTCCTGATACATGCTACAACGTGCACAAACCTTTAAAATAATACGCAAAGTGAGAAAAGCCCATCACAAAATACCGAATATTATATGACTCCGTTTATACGAAACATCCAGAACAGACAAATCTAGACACAGAGAGTAGATCAGTGGTTGCTTTGAGCTGGGGAGGACAGAGCATTGGGGAGGGTGACTAAAAGGTACAGGCTTTCTTTCTAGAATGATAAAAAATGATCTAAAATTGATTGTGGTGATGGTTGCTCCACTCTGTGAATATACTAAAATGATTGAATTTTACACTTTAAATGCATGAATTGTAGGGTGTGTCAATTAATTCTCAATAAAGCTGTTTTTAAAAATCCAGTGAATTTTTATTCCAGGTGCTAAGTTTGCAGCAAGCAATGGCATTGGTGGCCCCCATCCTTGAGGGTGTGGGATCCCATGTCTGCCTAGAGCATACCTGTGGTGTCCTCGATGAAACCCCTCAGGTTCCCTCCCCTTCTGGAGGCACCTCAGTCCAACCACAAACCTCACTCAGATTATCGGCAAGTAATAAAAATAATAATGTATGATAACAGAAAGCATGGCAAAGCTAATCAGTCCACGCATATGTTGCCCACAGTGTGCAGGACACTCTTCTGGTCACTGTAAACCCAACAGTGACCCTCTGTGCTAGTAACAAGTGCATTCTATAGATGTGTGAGCTGGGATGGGGGGAGGTCAGGAAATGTGTCCAGGGCCACCACTAACAGGCATAAAGAGAAGACAGCAGCATCTCCTTCCTAAGACAGGGCCCTACCCCACTGGAGATGAAGAGCTTGTCTTCGTCCCACTTGTCCTTCCTTTCAGCGGCCAGGAGGGGCTGGGGGCTCCGGCAGTGCAGAATGGCCTGGAGCCTCCACCTGCGGTCAGCCCTCCAGGTCGTGGGAAGCGTGGGCGCCCACTGCCAAGTGCTGCTGTGCAGAACACCAGGAGAAGTGAACTTTGAATACTGAGCAACTGCTTTCTACCTCCTTGTGTATCAAGTGACTCTGCTGTATCCAGCTGATGAACTAGTCAGACTTTGGCCGAGCACACACTTCCCTTTGCCAGTGGAGGTAGAGGTCGGGGCACCAGCTGGGTGTGGTCCTGGAGCTGCCCAGGTGCCTGGGTGCTAATTGTGGCTCTGCCACTAAACCAGATCTCAGTCCACGAGGACCAATTCGGATCTGTTCCCTTCATATGTAAACCCTTCCCCTTCTGACAGTTTATGCATTAAAATCTCCTGGGGTTCCATTTAGTCATCATCGCTAAAGAAAAACAGAATTCAGAACTAGAGAATGAATTGACAGAAAACTGGAAGGATTTGTCTGGAACTCTCTCTTATATTAGTCAAAATGCAGTAATGCAACACATTTCACTCCATCTAAATCCAACGACGCACCTAGTAGGCTCGCTCCAGAGCTCCCGGGCGACGGGGTTCGCAGTCACCCAGCGGCCTTCACGTTGTCCAGGTTGTCACAGGAACCCTGCAGTGTTATGAATGATGCTGCTATGAACATTCACATAAAAATTTTTGTGAGGACGTCTGTTTTCATTTGTCTTGGGTATATATCCAGGAGTGAAGTTACTGTTTAACCTTTTGAGGAAATGCCAGACTATTTCCCCAAGTGACTGCACCACGTCACATACCTGCCAGCAGTGTCCAAGGGGTCCAGTTTCTCCACACCCTCCCTTGCACTTAAGACTGTCTCTTTTACTACAGCCATCTCAGTAGGTAGGAAGTGTTTTTGCTAGTAGTTTTGATCTGCATGTCTCTCATGACTAATTTCTCTCATGACTAATGTTGAGCATCTTTTCATGTGCTTATCAGTCACTTGTATGCCTTTATTGGAGAAATATCTGTTCGATCCTTTGTCTATTTTAAAACTGGGTTATCTTTTTACTACTGAGTTGAAAGAATTCTTTATATCCTAGACATAAGACCATTATCAGACATAAGACTTGCAAAAATTTCTCTCATTCTGTGGGTGTCTTGTCACTATTTTGATGGTGTCCTTTAGAACACAGAAATTTTTAATGTTGATGAAGTCCAATTCATACAAAGTTTGTTGTGCTTTTGTCCCTAAATTACTTTACAGAGGACAGCAGCTGCCTGACCTCAACACCAGTCCCGGGTTGTTAGGAAAAAAACTTCTTTTGTGTTTGAGCCATTTCATTTTGGGTCTGTCACAGTGAATTAATCTGTACTACAAAGATTCCTTTAGTAAAGGTTTATTGATGATCTGTCTCTGTTCACATGAAAATGTCTTTATTTTACCCTCGGTATTGAAATAAAGTTTTACTGAGTGTTCAACTCTGGTTTGAAATGAATTATTTTCTTGAAAATACAGTTTTGCTTTTCATCGTAGGTGATGACTTTCATCTGCACCCTAGTATTTGCAGAATCTGAGCAAGAATACAAACGGAGGCCAATCACACTTGCCTAAAAACAGTTATAAAGCAAAAGAACCGTAGGAAACAATGCCCTCTACCCTGTCATTCATTGTGCAGTAGGCGCCTGTGTTGGAACAACACACTGTAACTCCAAAAATAAACATAAAATAAACCAAAATAACTTAAGTGAATCAAAACTTCATTAATTTTGAAATTCAGTTAAATCTGAAATATTTTTACGAAACTGTTCTAAGCAGGTGTCCAATAGCTACGGAGCTGCATGTGAAGAGTCAGTATCGCGCTTCACGCGTGCTGTGTCTAGGCCTGTAAATCTACGAACTGAAAATTGCAAAATGCTGCCCAGTCGCCTTGTGCGGCTGCTGAGCACACGCGGCGATTCACGAGCTCCCGTAGGCGGCGGAGCCGGAACGGACGCAGGACTGCGGCCGCCGGCGCCCCAGGTAGCCCCGCACGAGCCAGGCCCGCGCAC